ATCATCATCATCATCATACAGGAAAAAGTAGTAGCAGTAGTAGTTCATCAAAAAATCATAATACAAATCCAACATCAATACCAACACTAAATCCAACATCAGCAGAAACATTAGCATCAACATTAGCTGCATTACAAACAAATGAACAAATGGAATTTTTTCAAAAACATTTTCTATCAAATATGCTTCCCTTTGCTGTTGCTAATCAAGCAGCAGCACTTGCAGCTAAAACAACACAACAACAACAACAGCAACAAGCAGCATTAGCTGCATTACCAGCTATGGCTGCATCACTTATGCGTCAACAAAATCCAGCTCAATATTTACTTGATATGATACCACAAGCAGCTAAACAGCAACATCATCATCATTCGAAATGAATCTTTTTTCTTTTTGTACAGTTTTTTTTTTTCGTTGTCGCCTAAAGTCATATTTGTGTGTATGTGTTTGTCTATATGAAAAGAAGTCATAAGATGATGACACAAGATCTTCTGTGTTTTTCTTTTGTTTCTCATTTGTTCTATGTGAGTATATTTGTGTGTGCGTGTGTGTAGATTGCAATACGATTTTATCTTCTTTTCCTTTTGTTTGTCGCGACATAACATAAGTTAATTTGGCAAGATCAACATTTTCTATAAAAAAAAAGAATTTTTCTTTTTCTTTTTTGATAACAATTGAATATTTTTTTTTTCAAAAAATTATGAAAAAGATTCAATTAGAGATATGCTCTCATTTTCTCTTTGTTTTTGTTCTTCGTTTTCTTTTCTTTTCTTTTTTGTGTTTTTGTTTTCTTTTTTTGTTTTGTTTTTTGATCTTCAAAATATTTCAATTTGATCTCAATCGTGGCAGTGCCATGAGAATAGATTCTGTTTTCGAAAACAAACAATTGCTTATTTGTGTTGTTGTTTTTCTTTTGTTTTCCTCATTTTTGAAATGGAATATATGAAAAGAAATAAATAACTGTAAGAGAAAAATGTAATATTATAGAACATATGTATTCGATTAGTTTTGTGAATTTAAATTTATATATATATATATATATATCGATTCAAATTAATCCTCTTGTACGAAAAAGATTAAATCAAATATGATATATCATACTGACAATTCGAAATTTGATTAACATTTGTCTTTTATTTTTTACATATTCGAATAATTTATTTGCAAAAGAAACTTATAAAAATCAGGTTACAAAAAAAAAGAATTAAAGAAGCGAATAAGAATTGAAGTACGCCAAAAACATCAAGGTCAAAATAATCTCAATATTTATACAGAACTTTTTGTTTTATTATTTTGCCATATGGTCAAGAAAAAACAATTGTGCATAATTTTTGAAAGCTATTGTTTCCTTGTTGAGCAAATCGAGTAGTTTTTTTTTTACATATGATAGCTAGTATCCTGGAATCGTGTCTAGCTCGGAGCATAGGTTCGGGTACAAACTCGTCGAATCGGTTTGGGTCTGGGTGCACGATCATCTTCGGATGCGATCTGATAATTAATGAGATCTCGATGCTTCAAAATATTTTTACTTTTTCAAGTTGCTACTCACAGAAAAAACATAGGAGTGAAAACCAGAGTTTATATGGAAGAAACGTAGTAGTATACTTTTGCATATAAAGTAGGAGTTTGAAAACCGTACCGTGATTGTCAATGCATTTCCCAAATGTCGATTAGCTTCGGTGCAAAAACATTGTTCGAATATATCAAAAATTAACATTTCTACAAGTAACTCGATGAGTTTTATCCAACCATGACAAAAAAGAAAATGCTAATGAAATTTTGCATTACCAGTACTTTACTAATGTAATACATTCGCTCAGGGTGTCAATAATACTTCTTACATTCGAATATTTCAGACGAAACAATCATAAAAAAGAAATATTATCTTTGCTGAAAAGCTGTTAGTATAATCCCAGTGGAATAATAATGTGAAACATAATGTAGCTTTAGTTGCTAACCACAGGCAGATTGTTTTATTCTATCTATTTTAGGACAGATTTGTTCACTATTCTTTTACTTAATCTTTCAGAAATGTAATCAGAAAGTAGTTCATATAGTATAACGAAACGTTATTGATATATGATCTGTGATCGTATATCTGCGTCTGTCTCAGTCTGTGGGAAATGCAAATTTTTATCTCTATACTTCAACATTCCTTTTAGATCGTGTTTCCTAGTAATATGCTTTTTTTTGATTGTTAATATATCGTTTTATAGAAAAGCAAACTTTACTCCTGGTTTATGTAGATGTTTTATCTCATTCTGAATTTAGAACACAACTCTTAAAATGTTTTCCATATTTCTTTTCTTGTATATTGGCCATATAACCTACATTCGTTAATTGCATTGTAGTAACACTGAACATGTTTTCTTCTGTTTATTATCTTCGATTCCTCGTCCTATGTTGGACATATTCTAGTCTAAATTGATTAAAAATCAAAGAACATTTTTATTTTCCGGAGCAATAAGAATAAATGTCTTTTATGAAACAGAATTAGAATCGACATAAATAAAAAAAAAAGAAATCACTAATTTATTTTCTACTATGTTGAAGAAAGAAAGACATGATCAGTGAGTAAAATAAATTCTGCCTGAAAAACGTCCATCCTCCTAATTTGTTTTAAAATTCAATTAACTATGAAAATTCTCTTATAAGAGAATCAATCGAATTGATACATGTGGTTTGAGCTCATATTTAGCAGACAAGGACGTCTTGATGAGACTAACAGGAATTTAAAAAGGTTTCTCTCCATGAGTCTTTTAACCTAAGTTATGATTGTTTTACTGAATTTTGTATCCAGAATTAAGTATTTACCAAAAAATCAAAAACCGATATTTCAACGTAAAATTTTGCCCATGAATAGGTCATATAATGAGTAGAATATTCTTAAAGTTTCGGCCAAAAACAATATTTCCTTGTCGAGATATAGAGTTTTCCGAAAAAATAATCGTTTGTCATATATAAGGATTCTAACGATACCATTGCTGATAATAACTTTTTGAAGTAATAAAATAATGCGCAAATAAGATAGTAGAAATACTGCTAATCATCAATTAGATTTCCGCTTCGTCGTTAAGCTATTATGACAACGTCAGATTTCATTTTCTCAACATAGATTAATCTCTATATTTATGCATTATTGATAGAAGAAATATCAAGCGATGAAATAGCGAAATCCCTTATGTTTCTAGAATTCCTTCGAGCAGATTTTTGTTAAGCTTCGGAGGATTCTTCTCGATTCTATAGAGTCTCTGAATATTTCCAGGAAGCTCTTAAGAACCTATTAAAGGGCGCCATCTGCATCTTAACAGCTTTTCATGCTGGTACCTCTTTTTTCTTTTTTGAGTGTACGCGTGGGTGAATTGAAGACTCACATCCACATCTACACCTACCTTCATATATTATATTTATTATTTTGTTACTATTAATAAAATAGTAAGAAACTATTTTCATACTTCGCTAATAAAAAAACAATAAAAACTCTAGTATCATCAAAATAGTAAAAACAAAGTAAATACTAATACAGCGTAATAAGTAATAATAACTATTACCACTTGTCGAATAATAGTAAATAAGAAGTCACAGTAATGTAGTACCCATAGTCACATACAATAGTGAATAAATGTCTCCGCCCTGCATGATCTCAGGCATTATTAATGCTAGAGCTCTGCAAATTTGTGTACACATACTTCGTCAAGATGTAAGACAGAGACATAGCTCTGCTTCGATTGCCAAGAGCCTTCTACGAGTCAACTAACGGTTCATTATACAGCGTTGCATCTCAGCTATCCATGCAACTAATTTCATTGACGTTCATCAATCCTCTCTAGCACTGTGGTCACTTTACTGTGAGTGCTGATTTAAAGAAAAATTATCTGGTGTCCTTTTGAAACGAAAACGTAGTATTAATCCAGTGAATGAAGTTCAAACTCTTAGAAAAGCTACCTCTACGGTTGAGTATTAATGCTTATAAGTTTCATAAACAAACTATATACTGACAGAAAATGGCATAGCTATGATCATCGTGTTGATGTAACGAAGGATCCAGAAACATCAATATTCAAGGAACTCATCTTTTGAGTAAAGAATGACCATAGACTGAACTTCAGTTCTACTCAAAAAACATCAAGAATTAATCATGTATTTAGTAAAAAGTAATGCAAAACTGAGTAGACAGTCCTTTTTAGATTAAAAAGCTTAATGCAGAAAAAAAAACAGGTATCATCCATTATAATTCTCTTTATACTTAAGTCATTGAAGCGAAACTATGTCTCGGATCTACACTATTGGCCAAGTCATTTTCAAGCTTCTAGCATTTATAATGACTGAGATCCTCTAGGGTGAAAACTTTTGTTCATTATTGCAATGATAATGTCATGAAAATTGAGTTTATCGAAAAATTTCATATCTCGACAAAGGAATATTCTTTTCGGCTGAAACTTTCAAGATATTCCATAGATCATCAAAATAACAGAGATTTAAAAACTATTCTATAACTGAACTTGTTTTGATCGAATAAATAGTTTAAAAGATAACTGTAAAAGTTCATAATACATTTTATTATTTGAATGTAATAAAAGACAACAATTTGCTTATTCTTTTCGATTATTCTAATCTGATTAAATTCTACTAATGAATAGAATATTAATTTGCATATAATACAAAAAAAAATTTTATCATTAATAATTCATTTTTTCTTCTATATTGGCGTTCGTAGACGTCATCTATTTTAATCTTTCATAGATGGAGTAATACGTAGAAAACTATTTCTAAATGGTTACCAATTTTTACCATAAAACACGTTATTACTTTTATTCTCTTTCTTGTCCTTATGATATATATTAAAACATTTAATATAGAAATTAATTATTATTATATGATAACAAGTTATTAGTTTTCTTATTTATTTACAAAAGAATATCTTACTTATAGAGTAAATTATAAAAACAAATTGAGTCATTTTTTTCTGTTTTGTTTTTAGATATACATAGATATAGAAAATGTCGTTTATTGAAGGTATTGGTGATGATTTTCTATATGCTTTTGGTTTTTTACTTTTTATTGGTATTGTTTCCCTTGCTTGGCTTTCAACACGTGTAAATCATATTCATTTTCCTGCGACATTATTTATTATTGAACGACGAACACGTAGAAACAATGGTAATATATATATATATATCTATTTTTTAATAAATAATAATTTATTCATGGATTTTTTTCCTATTAAATTTTAGAAGAAGAATCAGAAAGAGCAAGTTCAATATCACCATCAAGATTAACTCCATCAAATGAACAATCTACATTTCCATCATCTGGAAATGAAATACAAACAGAACATGATTCTGATAATGAGTATGATTAATATATAAGATTTCATAACATTTTTTGTTTCTGTTTTTTTCTTTTATGATTTAGATCAAGTGATATTGATGAATTTAATTCTGAACAAACACCATTAGTAACAGAATCAAATACTACAGAAGTACAACAATCACAATGTAGCCATACAAATTCTATAGAAATAAATCATCAACAACAAACAACGTCTAATGAACAAGAAACTCAATCATTAAGAATTACGATTAAATTTCTTAACGATACTAAAAAGGAAATAATAGCTAATCCAAATGATACAATATCAAAAATTAAACAGTAAGAATTAAAACGATCTTTTAATTTTAATGAGTTCGATCAAACAATTTTCAGAATGAATTATTTATTAGATTTGTTCATAATCAAACTCAATAACACTATATATCGAAATCTTCTAAAGTAAATTCAATTTTTCTCCAACTAAAAAAAACCGACCTAGTTGATTTTGTATCATATGAATGTCAGAGAATAGATTTTAATCATAGTCACATTTTTTACTATATTAACATAGATATGTACAGTTTTAGTTTACTGATCACCGACTCAAGAGGGTAAAGTTAATACAGTCGGCGCAAAAAGTTCTACAACCACGTAAAAACTACCTATACTTTAATCCTTTAGTCTTATAGTTTGACCACGAACAGAGCATGTTGAACTTTGATCGCCCTTTATGTGCAGGAGCTAGAAGGTCAACATAAACTTTTTCTTCAAATAAGATTATCTTAACATAGGAAACAAATCTTATGATGTTCGGACAGCTTACCGCTGCCCCTATCATCAATACAAAATTCCATATAAAACAGTTATAGTTTGCCTGTTTTATGAAGTAATCTTTGGATAATCTCTACGTACCACGCTCTATTTGTAGTCAAAATATCAAGCAAAAGGATTGAAGTTGATGTATTTTTTATCCGGTAGCAAGACTTCTTGCCACTACCATATTTACCTGTTGTATGAATTAAATTAGTTGCATTTTCTGCACAAAAAAAAACGATTTGAAATAGAAAAAGTTATTATTTTCTCGGCAACTCGATATGTTCTATAATCTTGCCAGATTAAAAGAAGATTTTTAGTGGCAGGTTTGCTCTTCCAGAAAACCAGCATATGAAGATCTAAGGAGATTGCTTCTGATCATATTAAAAATCAACATGGCTCACACCCACACAATCCACTTATATTCGATGAGAAAGCCATTGATCAGTTGGAAAAGTTCTCACATCAACAGTAGTATCAGCGTTTTCTGAAGCATTGAAACATACCGTGTTACAAAAAAGAGCATATTTGGATTGAGATGACATCTCAATGTTGCAACGAACGCGGACGTTACTATTTCAATGAACACCGATACCAGTGTAATCAATGACACAACTGAACCCTGTATCGGTGACTCATTGTTTATTATTTACACTAACACTGTACACCCTTAGTTATTCTACAAAAAAAAAAATTCTTTAACTTTTTTTTTCTATCTCGAAAATAATCTTTTTGTGAAATTTGTTTAGATTACATTTTGCTGATGAATTATCAAATAATAAAATGATTCGATTTATATATCAAGGTCGAGAATTACAAGATCATGAAACTCTTCGTACATATAATATTCGTGATCAAACAACTATACATTGTCAAATAAGTGCAAGACGTCATGAATCAACAAATCAAAGAAATGATGGAATATCATCAGGAACACATATAAATCAAAATGGATTTGATACATCAACATTTATTGATTCATCACCTGTTAATATTTCATCGCATTTTATTATTTTATTAACATTAGTTCTTGGATTTGTATGGTATTTACGTATTAAATATCGTGTTTTATTTTCACCTATATCAACTGTTATTCTTGTATTAATAACACTTATTTTTTTAATATTTACATGTGGTTCTTTCTTAGCAACACGTCGACAATTATTAAATATTCGACAACCAACAACAACAATTGCTATAACACCAATACAACATGTTCATCTTGATTAAATATATATTTTTTTTTCTCTTCTTTCTTTTTCCCTTTTGCTAATATATTACATAATATATTTTATTTTTCTTTTTTTGTTTTTCTTTTGTATCTATGTATTCTCAAAGAGTTTTGAGCAATAAAGCTCATCGTTTGGTTTTTTCTGTCCGTTTTCGAATTATTTAAATATATAACGATCTGTCAATCTTATATTGTTTCTTTTATTTTATATGAAAATAATTATCATTAATTTAATAATATTATTTTTTTTTCTCGTCAGAAATATCAATCAATTGAATTCAACGAACGTTATATAAATTTTTCCTAAATATGTCGGAAATCACGTAGTTAATATTCTTTAATCATTTTATTCCTAAATGTTTGCACGTGAGAAAGGCAGAAGTATGAAAAACTTTTTCTTAATGTCAATGGAGCAATCCATAAAAGATCTCCGATCAAAAATCTTTGTTTTTTTTGACCGTCTGCGTCTGGTATGTTGTAGAAAGGCCTAAAAGGAAATAAAATCAATAATTTCAAATAACAAAACATTCTTTATTTTTGGCATAAATAGCCGAAGATTTGGAGTAGAGATGTGGATTCTCGTCTTCTCTTTACCGACACTTACACCTACTCTGGTTATATCGCTGTTTCTCAATATTTTTCTAGCCTCGATATTTTTCCCTCTGGAACTTTCTATCGGCAACTGCTCGCCTCTCTTCCCTCCTGCCGGATGTCCAGTTTAAAATTTTTTTCAAAATACTTAAAAAAAGTTCAAAATCTTCTGCACGTCCGTATTTGTTTGAGTCTTTTCTTCCCTCTGTCCAGTTTCAACTGGTCTCCTACAGTGTGCATTTTTTGCATGGCAGATAGAGATTTAAATTTCGCTCTCGGCAATAGCTTGCTTTTATTTAGAAAATCACTTTCGTGAGAATAAAGAATTTTTCGGCGAAAAACATCAGAGGAGGAAATCCTTACCCAAATGTTTTCGAGAGAATGTTTTGGTTCGAAAATGTCTAGTGTATATATGATCAGAAGTAGTTTCGCATACTGATTTCAAACATTGATTTTCAATAGAAGTGCTTTCAAGTCTAAAAAAAGTTTAGTAATAAAATCAACGATTGTTGAAAAACCTGTTGTACAATTCGGGAGCGTTTATGTTAGCTGTGGTAATAGAGGACAGAGAATCGAATATTCGGACACAGTTTGAGTAGATTTGAATTGGAACCCGTTCGTTTTACTGAACTTAGGCATTCAGAAAATTAGCTTAGAAAAAAATCTTTATTTTTTTTTTCAAAAACTACACATTCAAATTAATAGATTTCTTCGATGATCGGTACCAGACGGTATACAGAATCAGGATGTTGACTGAATGTATCTACTGGGTGGTTTGATTTTGTCAAAAATCAGTTTTCTCATCGATACTAGTGTTTCTAGGCTAATTTTTGGATTCCAGCTATTCTATGCTACTTAAAATTTGTAATGAAAATTTTCACATCATGCCATAGAGCATGCCTCACGGTATATTTATCACGATTTCAATCAATGGAAGGATGACTTTTAATTTTCACCTAATATTCACTTGGAAGCCGACTATGCCTTCCTTCCCTCTTTTTCCGGACGCCGATTATGGATAATCCCACATAAAATGACTGGTAGTTTTGTTCTTATTACCTTACACACATAATAACACTATTTATTTAACTTAAATCAAGATTTTAAATAAATAAATAATCTAATGTTGATCTACTTATTCAATACAATCTATTTTTTTAAAACTATTTATATAGATGACTTATTATTCACATACAGATCCATGTGTTGAACTTCGTAATGTTCTTCATCGTTCACTTATTTCACTTGGTTGTCCTCATGTACCAAGTTTACCAACTTCAACATTTTTAATGACAACAAATACAAATTTAAAAGTTATTATATGGTTACTTGGTGAACTTGATTCTGATCTTGCACAACGTTTACATACGACACGTTCATCAAATTCAATTGCATTTATAAAAGATTTTTTTCTTGAAACAGCTATGTTTCCACGTTCATTTATTTTACGTCTTGATGATATATTTAATTCATCGTCACTTATTGATCTTCATCAATTATCAGACATTTTATCATATTATATACATAAACCAATTATAGGTCACAATGTACAATTAGGTCTTATTGAATATCTTAGTGAATTACTTGTATGTTTACGTAATCCACCAATGACAATACATCATGATATGTGGAGTAATCGTAATGTACTTAATATGTTTGAACAATTACCTATGGATGAAACAAATCTTTCAATTGATTCACGTATATTTGAATATGCTGATAATGAACAACAACAATCTAGTGATGATGAACAAACAAGTGTAGATTTAAAAGATGTTTTTGGACAAGTACGAACAGAATTATTAGCACAAAAAACAAATGATATGAATGAAACAGAATTTGAAACAATATTTACAAATGAACAAATTATTGATATTGAAAAACAACTTCAAAATGCTCTAGTTGATACACATCAATTTTTTAAACGTCTTGAAACTGGTTTGTTAATATATTTTATTACTTTGCAAATTAATCAATTTTAAACAAAACATCAGAAATGAAAAAGAAAACCTACATATATCCCAAATAATAATAGTTGAGAATCTTAAAATTTTTGTAAATCTATGTATATTAGTTAGTAAACAGATATGATTAATCAATCAGTTGAATAACTGATCGATCAGTATTTCTACTAGAAAAACAAAAAAAGAAGTATACTGATTAGAAATTTCTTCTTTTGTTGTGTGCATTACATAAAATATGCTTTCAAATCTTATTACGAACAATTTTTTTTACTATATAGATGAAATTAATGGAAAAGAAATTATGACACAAAAGAAGGAAGGAGTTTTAGAACGTATCTATAAATTATATATTATATTTATAATATTATCTTAATTGAATCAGACATGCAGAGGCCTCGAAAATGAGAGTGAAATGAGATGCAGCAAGATGTGATTCCAGGTACTACTATGAGGTGACACGTGATTGAAGATAAATGAAGATTCATCGATGTATTTTATTAAATGATGAACAAGAAGAAAAGATTCAAGAAGAAATTTAATAGTAAAGTAAAGATATATATGATGAAGAAAGAGTTATTAAGATGAGTATAAGTAACAGATATTAAAATGAACAGTAAATTATAATAATGAATGAAGGATTGCAACTAACAAGAAAACGATTAGTAACGATTAAAACGAAATAAACACAAGAAAAAGTATAATAAACAAAGATGTGAATAAATGTACATATAATAAAAAGAACGAGAGAACATAGATGACGACTAGTATTGTCACAAAGAGTAAGGCAATCTCCTCTAATTATTGAAAATTAATCGTGTTTACTAGAGATTGCAAGGTTACTCTACCCTACCCTACAAAGTACGGTAGGGTCAAGGTTAAAAGATTTTTCCTCGGTCAAAGTACAGAAAAAAAAAGATTACTCTGCTCATCTCTTGTATTTACCCAGTAAAACTACCAAGATTTTTTGAATGTTTTAGTACTGCTACGAGACACTTTCTTATATATGTCGTCCATCAATCATAGGACCCTCGCGTAACTTTTACCACATATGATCGCTGAATTTTAATAAATTCGACTTTGAATTTCGAACTTAAATAGTTTGATTTTAGTTCATATCTAAATTGAATCCATTTCCTATAGCACTCGGTAGCTTTTTCATTTAACTGCGAACTCTCTCTCTCTCTCTGTTACATCTATTTTTGTGTTGACTAACATACAATTGAAACAATAGAATTATCTAATCTATTTAAATATATATTTATCATATCAAAATTAAATTTTAATATATTTAGGTTTACCAAATTTATCAACATCTATTGATCACCAATCAACATTTTTATTATCGAATGAAACTTTACAAAAATTAACATCAATTAGTCATTTAAATGGAATCTATGAACAAGTTCGTTCAAATGATAAAATTTTTACAGATAAAATTCAGTATTTATTAAATGATATTGATAAAGAAAATGAAAATGAAAATAATTCAAAACAATCAAAGTCTTCTCTTACACTTCAATCACAAGTCATGTTAGCACGTAATCTTGCTCATACATTAAATAATACTGATCAGATAAAAAAATAATTAAAAATTTATATTTTGTTAAATACATAGATTTAAGAAACAAAAAAAAAAAATGAACAAAACTTTAATGATTTTCAAATAAAATTCAGTCAGATAGTTTAATTTTGTTTTTTTTTAATACAAACAACAATAAGATGTTTTTGGTCTTTTTCCAAAACTGTTTTCTAAACCTTGCTTATCTATTATTTCATTTAAAGATTTTATTTTATTTTGATTTGGTTTAGATAAATTTTTATCGTGTTCAAAACGATCCATAACTGAATCAAGTAATAATTTAATTGCTTCTACTACATTGATATTTTTTAATGCACTTGTTTCAATATAATTTATATTATATTCTTTAGCAAAATCTTGCGCACGATTTTTTGAAATAATACGTTCATTTTCTAAATCACATTTATTACCAACAAGTACTATATCAACATTTTCTGAATAAGCATGAGTTTGTATTTCACTTATCCAGTTACGTACATTAATAAATGATGTTTCATTTGTTAAATCAAATACTAGTAAAAATCCAACAGCTTCACGAAAAAATGCTGATGTTAGAGAACGAAAACGTTCTTGACCAGCAGTATCCCTAAAATTCAAAAAGAAAAGTTGAAAATGAAATTCTTTCTTTTTAGATAGAATGAAATTTTTAAACACATATAAAGTAGTCACAAAAAAAAGTCTCGCTACGAGGTAAAAAGTACCTCAGCTTTAATATTTTACTCACATAATTTGACCATACCTAGAGCATGTTGAATTCTAATCGATCTTAATGCAGAGGAGCTAGAAGGTCAATGTAAATTTTTTTTTCGGATGAGAATATCTCAACATAGGAAACAAATCTTATGACGTTTGGACAGCTCAGCGCTGTCTCTATTACCAATATAAAATTCCATGTCAAGTGGTTTTAGTTTACCTGATTTATGAAGTATTCTTTGTGTAATCTTCACGTGAGAGTTGATGGAAACTGTTGAAAAGTGATTAATATTTTGGGTGAATTTTAACCATGCGCCTTGAAATTTTCTTCAGTGAATGCCTTGCTCTAATCAAGTTTTCTTTCATAATTTTATGATCTCGCATCCATCGATAGAAAAGAGA